TTCAGCCCCATCTTTGAATTAGAGATGAGGAGGGAACAGAAATTAAGTCCTCACACTCTTCTCCTGCTTCAGTGTGGGGTCCCTCCCATGGCACAGTCCTCCACCAACTTCTCCAACGTGAGTCCTTCCTATACGCTACAGTTCTTCACAAACTGCTCCAGCGTGGGTCCCTTTCACAGGGTGCAGTCCTCAGTAACCAGCTGCTCCAGTGTGGGTCCCCTGTAGGGTCACAAGTCCTGCAGCAAATCTGCTCCAGTGTGGATTCCTCTCTCCATGGGGCCACAGGTCCTGCCAGGAGCCTGCTCCAGTGCAGGCTTCTTACGGGGTCACAGCCTCCTTCAGGCATCCCCCTGCTCCGGTGTGGGGTCCTCCATGGGCCGTAGGGGGCACAGCCTGCCTTACCACAGTCTGCACCACAAGCTGCAGGGGAACCACTGCTCCAGCACCTGGATCACCTCCTCCCCTCCTTCTGCACTGACCTTGGGGTCTGCAGAGCTGTTTTTCCTCACACATTCTCACTCCTCTCTTTGGCAGCAATTGCTCTTGTGCAGTCACTTTTCCCCTTCTCAAACGTCATCCCAGAAGTGCTGCCACCATCACTGATGGGCTTGGCCTTGGCTGACAGTGAGCCCGTCTTGGAGCCCACTGGCATTGGCTCCATTGGACATGGGGGAAGCTCCCAGCACCTTCTTACAGAAGCCACCCCTGCAGCCCCCGCCACGACCAAACATGCAAACCCAGTAGAGACATAAGCATCCTGATGATAAACCTGGTTGTTTGACATGCTCTTAAGTATTGGTGATTTACTTAATCAGGTCTCAGGAAGAAGCACATTAAAGCCCTGGCTATTAGAAACAATGACTGCTTCCTAATAGGAACAGTAATTTTGCCTGCACTGGCTGAATCTATTCCTTGTCTCTCTGTCTTCCCTCTGGTTGTATATTGTAGTCACACTCTCACGTGTACTCTCACTTTGTCTCTCTAAGGCCTTTTTAATAAAATTAATACTGTTGCCAACTGATTCTTTGATGCTGCCAAGCAAACCAAATGACCTGGCCATTAGTCTCACAGTCTCCATGCCCAGAATAGAAACTTCACCATTTATTACACTAAAAAAAAAAAAAAATCCTAAAATATCCCCAAATTTGGGGAATTATTCTAAGTTTGACTTTATTTTCTTCTAATAAACATGTAGATCAAACGCAGAACTGCAGGGTAAACTGCTAAATGCTTTGTTACTGACAAAGGCACTCCTTGAATATTTTGCTAATGGCTCAGACTTGATTAATATAAGAAAAAAGAGCCTATTGATTTTGCTTTAAAACAACATTTAAAAAGTGCTCAACATGCTGGCAGCAGAAATATGTTGTGAAGTGCACAGAAAAACTGCCATTTAAATAAGGATGAAAGTGAGCCAGGCAGGCAGAGCCATTAGAAGGAGACAGATGATGAAGCCCTTGTCAATCCCAGTGAACCAGAACTGGAGGCAGCCAGCCAGGCTATGGCAGCATACTTGGATGGACTAAAGATGGCAAGTCCAACTTCAACCAGACAATACTGAGTTCAAAAAGCAAGACATGCTTTCCTACCAGTACTTTGCCCATGAACAACGCTCATTAAAAGCATGCATCGCAGATATATTTTAAACAGTAAACTGCAGACATGCATATTTTGTGTCCAGAGTGCCATAAAATTCCTATGAACTACTGTTTGTGTCAGCTGGGCACTAACTCTTCTACTAATCTCAGCAATACTTTATACTTTTCCTCTCTCTCTAAATAGCCCTTGAGATACCATGACAGCCACTATTCAGGAGCCAGGATCACAGGATATTTTGCTCTCTGTGGGCAGAGCATGATTCTGAACTCTGATATCTCAGGGACAAGCATGTTAATAAGAATAAAGAAGTTGCAATGAGTGTTGCCCTAGGTTCCCATGGGAACACAACACTTACTTCCAGATCTGGATAGTTTCAAGGTACCAGGTTAAACACTTACTAAAACATGTCTAAAAAAGCTATTCCTAGATTTTCCAGTGGCTTCCTGGTTACTATTTACTGGGACTAATGGCTCAAGAGGCAGAGACCCATTAAAGTGCAGGGGTACAGAGGAAAGAGCATGTAAGTGAGGCCAAGCACCTACAAAAGACACTGGGAAGCAGCCAGAGGAGTCTGACATGTTTGAAAATTCAGTTCAACTACTCAGGGCTGGAAGGGGGCTGTCACCCATCAATGGGTGTAAAACAAGCTGTTACTGTGTGATTTGTTCATGACTTTAACTGTGTTTTCTAAGGACACCTGTCTGCTGTCTGCCATAGTTTTGTGCTACCCAGCCATCCACAAGTACAACCAAACATACTTGCCACCCAGCTTGTAAGTGAAATAACTTCTGTAGTTCAAGACGGGCTATGTGGGGGAAAGTTTGTCATTAATTGGAGATAAAGAAGTTCTGCCTTTACTTCTGAAGAACCTAGCCCTGGGGAAGATGAGAGGAACCCAGGACAAAAAGTTGACCTAGAGCTGGTGAAAGCCTCCTGACTTGCTACACAGGAATGAAAGCCTTGGGGAAAGTCACGTTCATAAATTGAAAGGTACACCCAGGCTTTGAAACACTATCTACACACTATATGCAGATGCCTGAATATGTACAACTGAATTCTTTCTCTCCCTATGCTTTCCATGTGGATTAGGAGTTGCAGCCCAAACTAGAACTTGCTGATGTGACAAGGATGCTTTCTTTTAATTGTGCCTTCATTTCTCCAAAGTGACTACACTGTGGAAGACATCCTGCCTTCTCAGGATCACAGATCTGTTAGCAGTAATTATAACAGGCCAGTTGCAAGCTAACCTAAAAGCTGATAAAAATATCATTCTCCTTTCGAAACAAAAATATCAGGGGGTCTTACATGGAATAACAAGAAAACCATGGTGAGCATTAAACAAACAGCTGAGATAAAAAATGTGCTAGACACTTATAACACTGTATACAAATGTACCCTATTAATAGAAAGATTTCTCAATTGCACTAATTTTTAAAGAAACAAACCCTTTTAGATAAAACAGACTAACAGAATTATATCTGTTTTTTTAAAAAGCAGAAAGATAAAGAAAAATATATAAAATGAGGGCTTAATCTAGAAAACCTCTGAGATAACATACATTAGTCTTGGAAAAATACAGATTTAGACAGTATGAGAAGCTGTATTTCAATCAAAGCCTTTGATCATTCAAGATAAGCATACTGGAAAATGAAATTTTCCGCTTTATTTGATTTCCTTAGGAAATAAGCTCTTTCTTCTCTGTTTCTATCCAAAGGACAAAAAAAAACCCACAACCCACCCTGAAAAGAAACAGCTGAAATCTCCCACTGTTCTCCTACAGAACACAATGCTTTTCTCCTGTCTCTGAAATCAAAATTTACAATGGTTACTTCATCTACATTGTACCTTAAATATATTGCTGCCACTGTGCTCTAACATTTCAATTTGCTCGTGATATTTTCAACAATTCCCTGAAATTTTTTATAGTAATAGACAAAAGAAGGAAAATGCCTGTTTACCGAACAATGAAGCATAAACTCTTCCTCTAAACAAAAGGTTCATTAATCTTGCATAGACTTCCGTTTCTTGTTATATGAAAAACAAAAAAGCCCCTATAGATGTCTGGAAAGGTACCCTGCAATGAGAAACTTCAGGATATTTATTTCATATCTTAGATTTAGAGCAAGGCTGGAACTTGATCATTTCACACAATACCTTTTCGTAAGGTGCAGACAGAGACATAAAATGCAGCATGTGGAGATTTAAATCAAGTTGGGAATAAAATACACCTTCTTTTAAGCAACAGAACTAATCAGCTATCAAGATACCTTACAATAGAAATTAGCAAGTCCATTAAGACAGAGTCATTAAATCAAATGTCCGTGTCTCTCTCTAACAGGTGCACCCTAATCTAAGTACAAACTCTTGGCTTTACAGCATTCAGTTACTCAGAGTCAAGTCCCTGTACTCTAAAACCAAACCCTAAGGTGTAGCAGTTGTTCAAAGCCACAGCAGGACACTTGGCCTGCAGCAGCACGTAACTGTAACAGCAGCCAGTCCACTGCTCTTTGGTGATGCTTCAGAGACAACTTCAAAAGCAGGAGTTTCTTCCAAGTATCACTCAGATGGTTAAACCATTCCTTGTGTTCCCCATTATGATAAGAGGAAAACAGACCAGCTACTAACTTGAATGGGGATACACAGTGAAATCCTTCTAGGATAGTCCATTACACACATGGAAACAAATTAGAGTGCTTTTTTAGCATTCTCAAACCACTTGTGTTTTAGACAATCTGAAAATCAAGGGAAGCAGTGGTAAGAAATAATCAGTTCAATCAAATTCCATTGACTATGTGAACTGTGGAACAGGCCCTCACAGTCCCAGTGAATTAAAACAGCTTCAGCAAGGATCCTTGATGGTTTATCCTTCTTGTCTGTACAACTAGTACAGGTTGTACTGTACAATAACAGTCAAAGCCCAGAAGCACATCAACCTTCTACCCAATCCACAGCAGACAGCTCAAGCAATTCACAGATGGCAAAAGTTAATTCCCTTAGCCCTATGAACAGCATAACAGTTCACTATACTTTAAATTATGGATGGTGAACTGGGATGTTGCACCAGGATAAGATAACATACACCTGTAACAATGACCACGCTCTTCAGAACACCTGCTATCAAACAGTTATCTTCAGGGATTCTTTATACTTGATACTATTCACTGACAGTTGAGGCAACGTAAAATATTATCATCGAATGCAGTCTGGATAACATCTGACTGAAAGAACAATCTGCATAGGAAAAACTACAGTAAAATGGACAGATCCTGAAACAGATTTCAAGAAAGCAAATAGCTACACCACATTCTTGTACCTTCAGGCTCTCACAGTCTTGTCACCATGGTATTTCAGGATTTGATTACCAGCTGTAAAGAAAAAAAGATGATTTTTTGGGGAGCACATTTATCAAACCTTAACATTTATATTTTTACTGAGGAATTAGCAACAACGGGTATATTTCACCCTACAAGCTCTTTACAACTTTATGAAAATTTGACATCAGTGGCAGATCCATTTTACAGAGTGCAAGAAGGAAAATAAACAGATAAGGAAACAGCAAGAGCTGGATATTTTCAATGCATGTTCTCAGCCCAGAAAACAAAAGAACCATTTTTCTTGCACTGCTGTTTGTCACCCTTTCAGTACAGACTTGCAGATACACACAGGAGGCAAGACAATCCCAATCCAATCTTAGAATGTCTCAATCATTCAGTCTTTTTCCTTGACCTAACTTATCACTTATCCTCACAGCTCACAGCAGTTTCACCAGGATGCTCTGCCTTCAATTTTTTATGAGATGGCTCTCCTGGGAGAAGAGATGTGCAGTGCTCTAAGGATCGTGCAATTTCATCAATTGTCCATTTATCTTCATGAAGGGCATGCTCCTCCAGAGTAAATGGCCCATGTTTGGTTCGGGTCAGCTCTTGCATAGTGGCACAGGTAGAGAGTTCTACAGTAAAGGAGAAAAAAGGATTTAGAAGTTCATGGTTCAAGTTTAACTACCTGCAACTCAGTTAAAACATACTTTTACATGCAGCCTTCTAAGTTATTCTGCTTTGTTTGAGAAGGAAGTTCATGAAGATTTAGCTCTTCTTTACATCTTAAATTTGAACCAAGAAATTACTTTGATTTCCATAGATCTCTGGTGTAGTAGAGTTCAAAATCTGACAAAGTTGTCAAAAGGTTTTCCAGATTTAAGTCAGAATGAAAAGAGATGAAATAATTACGTAAGCAGAACATTCTGTATTCACAAATGACTTGGAAGACCATGTACTCTTTCCACAGCCTTTGAGTCTTTAGCACTTCCTGCCTTCAAGAAGGATTTTTGACATTTTCATCCTGTGTTGCCTACCAGGGTAACATAAACTAAGATAAGGAAAAATAAAATATATAAACAAATGCTCTGCTATGCGAAATAAATACCAGGAGGACACAATTACATAATGAGGAGCTACAAAACGTAAGAGCAACCAGAGTTGACCTGCAAGTGCATAGGTACACTAAAACATTCTCTCCCATCCTTCCTGATGCAGGTCTATGAGAAAATGAACATGAGCTGGCAGTGTGAGCTCCCAGCCCAGAAAGCCAACTGTATCCTGGGCTGCATCAAAAGGAGTGTGACCAGCAGGTTTCAGGAGGTGATCCTGCCCCTCTACTTTGCTCTTGTGAGACCCCACCTGGAGTGTTGTGTGCAGTTCTGGTGTCCTCAACATAAAAAGGACATGGAACTGTTGGAACAAGTCCAGAGAAGGGCCACGAGGATGATCAGGGGACTGGAGCACCTCCCGTATGAAGACAGGCTGAGGAAGTTGGGGCTGTTCAGCCTGGAGAAGAGAAGGCTGCGTGGAGACCTCATAGCAGCCTTCCAGTATCTGAAGGGGGGCTATAGGGATGCTGGGGAGGGACTCTTCATTAGGGACTGTAGTGACAGGACAAGGGGTAACAGGTTCAAACTTAAACAGGGGAAGTTGAGATTGGATATAAGGAGGAAATTCTTTCCTGTGAGGGTGGTGAGGCACTGGAATGGGTTGTCCAATGAAGTTGTGAATGCTCCATCCCTGACAGTGCTCAAGACCAGGTTGGACGAAGCCTTGGGTGACATGGTTTAGTGTTAGGTGTCCCTGCCCATGGCAGGGGGGTTGGAACTGGATGATCTTAAGGTCCTTTCCAACCCTAACCATTCTATGATTCTGTAAGATTTATATTGCTTTTTAAATGTTTGAAAAGAAACCAGCCGAGAACAGACTTTATCTTGGTTTGTCATTTAAAAAACTGAACATAAGCCAGTTATGCTCAGAAAGCAATAAGAGAATCTTTGACTTGCCTAAGCACAAACAACAACATTGAAATTCAAAAGGTTATCCCACATCACTTGCATTCTGATCTGCAAATGTATCGTTAAAAGAAAAAAATCCCTGAAATGGATTATCTGTTCTCCATCATGCAGTTTGATAGATATAGAGCACAAGACAAATAATCCTGTGGGAAAGCAAAACCCTTCACAGTCCAGGTAAAGGAGAAAGAAAACACTAGAAAAATCACCCCAAATGCAGAGTCTTTCCAGCAGATAGGGTTTATTATGTGCATGGTAATGTTCTGTGCAATCTGTTTTCAAAATGTGATGAATAATGTTTAAAAAGACAGTGTCTTTCTTGTTCTCATCCTTAATCTGAGTTAGTTTTAACATATGGAGGAGGAAAAGATCTCCACCCTGCCTTGTATTATCTTGCTCAGTGCTATTGCATGCTCCATTTTTATCTCACAGCCCCCAATGTCCTCTGGCAATTATTTAGCTTTCATTCCCAAGGAAAATACCTGTGTATATAAAAACAAGTGCTAGAACTACAATTCTGCAAAATAACACACAGGTCTAGTTACTGGAGATAGACAAAATGACAAAATGCTTTCATAAACAGACACATTCATTCCTTAAATGTTCCCTTCATGGGTTTTTTCATGCCTACCTTTGCCAATGTCACTGACCAGGCTCCTGACATAAAAGCCACCGCCACACTCAACATCTGGAATGTTAACAGTGACCTGGTAAATTGCCAGTGCAATGTGAAATCTACTTTACATAGAAACCATGCCCCCACATAAATGTAAAAATGCACTAAGCAAACAACCCAGTGATAAAATATTTATAGGATGCAACATCAATTATTCATCCTGTAACATATGTGTGGGTGAGATTGCTAAGCTAGACAGGAGGGAAAGCAAATACAATGGCAACTGAACTACCTCACTAGAAATTAAGTACTTGCCGTGGTATGTTAACAAATGCTTCACTTTTATTTATTTTAAAGGGTTCTGAAGGTTGTTTCATATTTCGAATGGTGAAATCAAGTTATTTCAAGCACAGACTAAACTATCAGTTCTTTTAAGATCCTGCACACAGGCAGCTCCAATAAAATTTTAAATTCACCTTTAACTTTCCCTGCTCTCTCAGCCTTTTCCTTCTCCCTGTCACAGATCGGCTGCTAGTCACCCAACCATAAAGTGAGGGCTGAAGTAACATAGCACTGAGTGCTGTCACTCATACCTGCTCATCATATAACATCTGGTCCATCTAAGGATGAACCAGGCGGGTGATGAGTGCAAGACATTATCTTGACCTTACAGCAGCATCAAACATTTACAAGAGTCTTTTCGGTTTATTTATTAATGTGCTTCTTAATGTACTACCCAAGTTTCTTCATGTATGACAGAAGGAAGGATAAGATCCTGCCTCTTCAACCAAGAAAGAGGCCTGGCAGTAACTGATACTGGTCATTGCTGTACCCTGGGACAGATGCCAGCAGGTCTGGGCATCTATGTGAAAGAACGGGCAAACTGAAGTAAGCAGACCTGAGAAAGAAGGAATGAGCTGGAGGTTGCAAAATCATGGACAGATGCAAATAATCCCTGACCAGCCTCTCAGAGTTTTCCTCACAGAAAGATTACGTATAATCAGCTTAACTTAAACCCAAAATACGATGCTTTTGCTGGAAAGTGAAGGGCTCTGCACATGGGCTCACACCAAATTAAATAGCTGAGCAAAATGAAACCCATTTCATTCTTTCAGTCCCTTTCTGAGTGTAAATAAACACTAACAAGTTGGGGGCATCACTTTATGTCATAATCTCCGGCCTTTACCCAGTGTGAACAGTGGTGGGTGGAACTGTTGGAGAGACAGGCTGTACACTCTTACTGGCCGAGCAGGCTTTGCTTCGACTGCTTCTCCTCTCTTCATTAGCGTTGATAGCCTTTCTCCATCCTTCTTCAAAGCAGAATAGCTGATCAGATAGAGCATGAAAATGTGTGTCATATGGTTGTAATAGAACAAGCTTCCCATTCTCCAGATCCTGTTAATATTCTACTACAGTAGTGCACATTTTACCCTTCTAATCCTCTCCAAGTGCTCACAAAAAAAAAAAACTAGTAAATGCTTCTGAAATCTCCTGGACACAGAATCATCCCATTTACAGTACCTACAAAAACTGTAAAACAAGAGACAGTCCTGCATTTACCTCTTGCTGTACAGAGTTAGAAATGCTTCATCACTCAACTTCTAGTTTATGAAAACAAAGAGTATCTAGAAGGGGTACAACTCTTGCAACCGTCTTTAACATGCTGTCTATCAGAAGTCTGCAGGGTGTACTCTGTTTCAGTGTTTATGTTGAGCTGAGCACAAGGAGCTGCTTAGACAACTCCTATAATTCTGCCTTGCACCTTGCTTGTTTCACAACAGGGTCTTCACAGCAGCAGCTTCCAAGTTATGTAGCCTTGCTTTAAGGTGCTTAGGGGATCACTATAGAACAACAAAAACAAAATTCACTGATTACATGAAACTTTATCCCAAGCTCCAACTTTGGTCTTGACAGAAAGATGACCATAAAAAAAAAAAATATCACAAAGATCTTGCTCAAATTAGTGTAGGATAATGAAGCAGAACACCTACTGAATTACAGACCTTTCAGGGCTCACACTGGAACCACAGTAACTGACCCATTGCAAATGCAAAGGAAAGCATGTTAGTTTAAATCACCATAAAAGCCATCTGTCACAAGCTAAGCGCTTGCACACTGCAGCTACTATGGCTCACCTGACTAGAAGAAATTTGCTAAGCTACTGAAGCTCGGTCACTAATCACTCATTCAGAAAACTAATTCAAAGTCATTTAAGGCACTTCCACACAGATGCATGCCCTTACCTACAACTAGCATTTAGCACTTGGAGCTTTGCTTTCTAACTGGAAGACACAATAGAAGCCATCAAGCCCTGCAAAGCTGTTTAAGACTTTGTTACTTTACAGTTACCCAAAAAAGCCATAAGCTCCAGGTCACCATTTGTGCTCAATGTTCAAATGGGCATGACCTGTAGCTGCAAACTTCAAATCTCCTAAAACTGCCCTGCCTCTATCCTCCTGCCAAAATGTGTCTTTTTATTGCTAAGAGAACTGACTTGTGTTGGCAAGTCCCAACAGCTGAACACAACTGCCAAGTGTGTCTTACTGTTGTGGAACTTACAGTGGAGGAACCTGCATTATGTCCCCTGTGAACTTCTGTAGCACATTTTCAAGATCTCCTTTTGTTACCTGGTCTGTAGAAAGAAGACAGTAAGTATGTTAGCACTGATTATTCATATGGCGTTATCTGCATCAGTCATGTTCTGCAAACAGTTACAAAGAAGAGTTCATCTCATCTGAATTTAGACTGGGTGAAAAACACCAAAGAAAGGAGCTAAAAAACAGAATGTAGGTAGGAGTGTGAACTATCACAAAGAGTAGAACAAATTGTCCAAGGTGATTAAGACAGCCTGGACACATTCAGAAGAGCATAAATCCCACTATACACCATTGTCTTTTGCAATTTCTCTCTCTTGGGCCTGCAAATTCATTTTTCTTGGGACCTATGCAAAAAATACAAAATCTGCCCAATTCTGATTTTCATTAAAGGACCGAAAAGAATAAATAACTCATCTAACCTTGGCAACTTCTCTTTACAAGTACCTAATTGCACTGAAAAATATAATGGATTATTATAGAACAAAAGCATTGTGGGGGTATTTGCTAGTTAAGAAAAAGACTGTGCTGGAACAACACATCAAATTTCTGTATCAAACAACTAACCTGCAACTGCACACCACGGTATTGTTATATATTAAGTAAGGCAATTTTACTGAAGAAATCCTGCAAAAGAAAGATATCTGCTTTAGGCAATCTACTCTCTTTTAAGAGTACACATATACATCTGTCCCACTTTTATTAGGTTATAACCTATGTAGGTGATTGCATTGGTCCTTTGAAATGCTATTCAATAGATATGATGTTCATACCTAATTTGTTTACAGAGTACAAATGTAAGATCTGTAATCATAACGCAATTCTGTGGATTTCTACTCTCTAGGACTTGACTAGTCCTGTTAGTCACAAGTTAAATTCAAATAGTGTCACCTTACTAAGCCAAGAGCATCCTGGAACAAAAACCAACCAAATTTATCGAGTCTTCATTGTTTGGGAAAAGACCTTTACTTGCAAACCTTATAAAACAGACGTACTTCATGCTGTAAGTAAAAAAGAAGAGGTTTCTTTCCACAACAGCACTGGGAGATGGCAATGTGGTACCTCACTTTTGCAAAGCACACTTTGCAGTGTCAGGAGCAGATGCTGTGCCTAAGCCTCAGCTGCTGACTCAAGAAGTGTCATTAACAGCAAGGTTGTAGGCACAAAAATCAGTTGTGGATGCTGGGAGATACCAATGCACATCAGAATATGAGGTAGGAACAACAAAATCAGTTCTATAGCAAGCCTGGATCTTCTTCTGAAGAGCTTACATGGTTATTTCAATCTTCCGATTGTATTATTCTAGTTTAGCAACACATCACAATAAAACTACATGGCAAAAAGTTAGCATGACCCAGCTCTATGCTGGTGATCCCATCAGCCTCCTTGTGAGCCCCAGGTTGCTTCAGGCTAGGATTTAGTATTTAAGATCTAAGCATAAGTGTCACTTGGAGTTCTCTTTCAGTTTTCACCCCATGAACTGCATTTGTGGCTAGGGCATTTTACGAGGTATCTCGTTCAGTTCCTGCTCTGATCTCATATTCCCGCACTTGAGGGGTTACATCAAGCCTCTGAGGTAATCACTCATGCTATAGGCAAGCTCTATCTCAGGAAAAAAACCAAAGCACCATGTAAGGAATGATGGATTAAGCCATTAACAAACAAAGTGGTGTAGTGTGTTACCAAAATAAATATTTACAGATGAGTTTGCTAAGATCTAGAATAAATCGTATTTGTGTTCTGCAATACACTGTGGCGCAAACTGGCCAGTATTACATTCTGAAAACCTAAAAACATGTGCTTTTCTCTTTATTTTTTATCATGCACTGCCTTTCTGTTAATGGCCTGTATTGGATTCTTTCCCTCTCCTAGAATAACACACAAGCTGGTGGAGCTTTCATCCAGCTCTCAGTCATAAAGAATGCTCCATTAGTCTTGTCACAGTTTCACTATGTCTAAACTGTATATCCATCCCAGGCATCAGTTTGGACTCATGAGCCAGCAACTAAGTATTCACGCACACCAGACACATCCTTGTTGGATGGGGAGAATTGGAAAAAAGGTAAAACACGTGGGTTGAGATAAGAACAGTTTAGTAACTGATATAAAGTTAGATATGATAACAATACATGCAAGTCAAGAGAAAGAGAGGAATAACATCCAAGACAGACAAGTGATGCACAATAAAATTGCTCAAGAGAAGGACCTCTTACACAGGATGTAGTGACAGAACAAGGGGGAATGGCTTTAAACTGACAGAGAGGAGATTTAGATTAGACATGAGGAAGAAGTTCTTCCCTATGAGGGTGATGAGACACCGGCACAGGGTGCCCAGAGAAGCTGTGGGTGCCCCATCCCTGGCAGTGTTCAAGGCCAGGTTGGACGGGCTTGGAGCAACCTGCTCTAGTGGAAGGTGGCTCTGCCTGTGGCAAGCGGTTGCAACTGGATGAGCTTTAAAGAGCTTTCCAAACCAAACCACTCTGTGTTTCTGTTAGGGAATGTAGCAATGTGCTTCTGTGCACATCTGCTAGGGAATGTAAATACGGCAGTGCCGGAAGCATCCAGGATTGGGCCTTAGTGCAGAGAAAAGGACTAAAACAGCTTGCAAGATACATAAAACTTGTCTTGAATTACTCCAGTGGATCACAAAAAGAAAGTGCCTGCAGAAAGTTGCCTGCTATATTAACTATAAGACAGAGTCACATTTTAGTCCTCAAAGTGTCCCTAGACAGCAGTTTAGAAAGAAATCTGTTGTTTATTACAGCTAGTCGCAATGCAAGGATGTACTGAAGAGAGCTCCTTGGGTTTAACCCCTCCTGAACTTCCCCTCTCACTTGCCTCGTGCAAAAAGACAAACTGCGTAAGAAAAGGGTTTGGGTGTGAGAGGTGGAATCCAGGCCACCTTTTCCATCATGCTATTAATAAAAAGACTAATTTACTTCCTGTACCTATTACCAGCTACCACAAACAATGTGGGACCTGGAGAGTTGCTAAGCAACCAGTTACTTTTTTTTCCCTTTTTTCCCCAGGTTGTGAAGGAATTAATGGTAAATACATTTGGTGGGTCCCTGGTTAGTTCTGTGTTGTCTCTAAGATGCCTTGAGTATTGTGGAATTGTCCACACCAACAAAGCCACAATCAGGATTAGCTCTGAAACCTTAAACTCTTGCACTGTGCTTTGCTGGTCAGAAAAGTTCATCTCTTGAAGTTGCTAGGACACAGACTGCAAGCAAGAGCAAGATTTGGTAAGTGTACATATACAGAGAGTAGTTTATGCCATCCTCATTTTACCTTGAGCAGTCTGTAGATAAAGGGGCATCCTAGAGGGAAGATCTAAGTACTTTATTCCCCCACTGGCCTTGAATGGCATTACTAAAAAAGCACTCACGGACTACACACTGAAAAAGGAAAATTTTACTGGACACAGCATGCCATTTGTCAGCCTGTCACAGATTTCAAATGACACAGTCCTGCCCAATTCTATTTTCTCCCTCCTAATCTAATGCCTGGTTTGTTTCTTTCCAGAAGAAATGAACACTTGCACTGGACATAATTGCATGAAGCTGCTCTGAATTATATGAGCATTGAAGTTGAAGAGGAAATAATCTTAGTGTGATTTCACATTTAAACTTAATTCACAGAGTGCCAAACACCTCTTCCGCTTTTCTATGCTACAGACCATTTATGTCTTCAAATCACATCAAGTATACAGATAAATTTTTGCTTACCATAAGGTTTTTCTTCAGTTACTTTTCCTGTAGCATCTAATGTATCAGTAGCTTTGCCCAGTAGTCCAATAGCAGTGTACTTCTGGGAAGGAAAAAGAGAGGAAAAAGAAGGTTGGAGAGTCAGGTCTTCAAGGTTCTTTTTTCTTTTTTTAATAAAGACTGCAACTACTAAGTACTTCAGTCAAGAGAGGAAGAATGCTGTCTAAATAGTCAATCCAGTGCCTTTGAGTAAGCAAAAGTAAAGATGAAAAGACATGGAACTAAACAAAAAGTAAATCCTGCATTATATGTGCCTATGATTTCAGTTTCAGAAACCCCTAGAAGAAGCAACATGGAATCTAATTTTTACTATAAATATATCACTACCATAAAGGAAATAATAGGGTGGGAAAATCAAAGCCTCAGTGGGGTGTGATATACCACTGTTGAAGCAAAGCACATAGAGTACCTTTCATGCTATTTTCTATTCCTTCACAATTTAAACAGAAGAAAGACACAAAGACCTTCACTTGTGAAAGCAAAACACCTCTGTCCAAGGCAAAGTATTACAACAGTTCTGCCATGAAATGCAGCAATGTGCAATAGCCTAAAGGTAGAGTTTTGAACATCTGGCATCCAGTAAGGACCTTGCTGACCAGCACCAGGAGTGCAATGCCACTGAGTGACATCTCTGCTCATGACAGGATCTCTGAATATTTCTGTTTCAGGGTTTTTCTCTAAAGAATTCTTCAGCATGTTTGTGTTTGCAGCTTGCAAGAATTAACCTGTTCCCATGCCAGTAGCTCTTGTCCTTACTGCATTTCACCTCATGTCCTTCTTTTCCACATTTTCACCCTAAGTACTGCCAGGCTGTATGCATATGGCAGAATCTGCCGAAGCTGACAGAAGGCTTCCCATGAACTAACTGCCCTATGTCTTTTCACAAGGCTGCCAACACGCGAAGACTCACTTTGTAATATGAATTTGGATCAAGTTCGGATACTTTCAGGTATTAAAATCTGTTGTTTGACCCACTGTCTATGCCATTCAATTACATTTGCATCAACCCTATGTTAAGTCCACGGGCTTTGAAAGTAAAGCATTTACATAGCCTGGGAGAGAAAAATCAAGGCATTCCACATGCCTAGTTCCCAGTAAGATTTCAGTGAACCTGCTCCTAACTAAGCTAATACAAATTTGAACCAAGTTGTAAAAGGATGCATCTTTTAGAACTTGGTTCACTAAATTCTACTGAACACATCCAAACATACATAAGCAGTAACATTTTACTCTTCAATGCAATGTATCCTTTTTCATGTACTTGCGAAGTACAAACAAGCACAAGTAATAATACTCTAGGCATAAAAATCACACACACAAAGTTGGACTATTAAGACATGCCTTGATTTTGTTCCATGTGACAACCTGCCACTTCAATGTACTTCTTCAAGCAACTGCCACTAAATGGAAGCAGCAGGAATAGTCAGACTAAAGGCAATCTGACTTTTGATATAAAAATAAATGTATTATTTCCTTGTGTGCTGGTTTTGGCTGGGGTAGAGTTCATTTTCTCCATAGTAGCTGGTATGGGGCTGTGCTTTGGATTTGTGCTAAAACAGTGTTGATAACACAGAGGCATTTTCACGCTGAGCAGCACTTACACAGAGTCAAGGCCTTTTCTTGCTCCTCACTCCACCAGCAAGCAGGCTGGTGGTGCACAAGGTGCTGGGAGGAGACACAGCCAGGACAGCTGATCCCAACTTACCCAAGGGATATCCCACATGCTCCACAGGTGACACTGGGGGAAGAAAGAAAAGAGCGACATTGGGAATGATGGTGTTTGCCTTCCCAAGTAACCATTCCATGTGATGGACCCCTGCTGTCCTGGAGATGACTGAACACCTGCCTGCCCATGGGAAGTGGTGACTGAATTCCTTGTTTTGCTTTACCTATTAAACTGTCTTTATCCCAACCCATGAGTTTTACCTTTTTTGCAAGTCTCTCCCCTATCTCACTTGTGAGTGAATAGCTGTGTGGTGTTTTGCTGCCTTCAGGGTTAAACCATACTACTGCATGAAGGCTACTTTTCCCTCCCACACTGCAGATGTCTGACTCCCCTGGTAACTCTGCAAAATTAGGCGGTTTAAAAGTAAAATCCTTGAAGTTTACATCCTTTTGGAAGGTACAGAAAAGAAGTAGTGAAAGGCAGAACAGATGAAGGCTGCTCTGCAACAAATATTTAAATAAATGTTCAAGTACATTATTATCTGCTTTAGGACCATAAAATTGCCTGCTTTCCAAGACATTTAATGATCTAGTTGTTAACATTCAACAGCGTAGCTAGAAACACTATTCAGCAACTGTTCTAGAGGTTAACAAAGCCATGTGAGATCTTTATAATTCTGGCATGATGAATCATTTTAGCAGTTCAGTAAAACTCTAAATCTGAAAGTTTGAAACCTCACACACCATCTTCAGATCTTTCCAAATGATACTACTTCAGTTTGTAGGACTTTCTTCCTCTTAATGCTGGTTTTGGCTATCTTACTTCAGACTGGCTTTTACAATAACATGTGATATTTAACCTACCAGCAACAGAGAGATAATATCATCTGTTTATATGTAAATATAAACTGTATGAACAATGTAATCCAAATCTAAACACTTGACTTCCCCTTTGATTCCTGAAAAAAAAGGCAAAAAGCCATTCAATCTGTAAAAAAAAAGTTCCTTAAAATTAGTCACAAATCCCCGTTCCTTAAAGGAGCCATTAAAGAGTCACAAAAGTCTCAAGCCAGCAATGCAATAATCCACAAAGAAGGCTATAACAGGTCAGGAAATTAAGAACTACAGCTGGTTTATGATCAGTATCTGGACTGCCCTTGGTTATCTACAATTATATATCATAATTCTTACTAGTCACTTAATAGGGTTTATTTCCCCTTTGGTAGCATGCAGGACCTGGAGCTTGTAGAAGATAAAATGTGTGTCAAAATTGAGCATTGTCTCCTTAGACTCTAACTCACACTGCCCTCAGAAGTACCCAATAGATTCTGAGTCATTTAATAAGTCTTTGGTGACCTTTTCCCACCTACGTTGGCGAACATTTATTTCTTCCAGTTTTATAAAATACATCTAGGGGCATTCCTCCTGTGCTCTTAAATTACAAATCACTGCAGGAACACAGACAGCAACTGCTCACAACCACGCTGCCTTCAACCCACTCAACCTGAAACAGAAAAGGCAAGGTAGGAGCTATTGCAGGCAGTGGAAAAGCAAGTGCAGACTATGATAGGAAATGTCCCTGTATCGGTGGCTTATCAGAGAAAACTGCCAATCAATAGCTCCTACGCCCTGCTCACTACTTACCTCAAGAGACTGGGACCCAAACAATTTAAAGATGAAAAGCAGCACCTCAGCTTCCCTACAGGATTCCACAAAGTGCAAGTGTAGTGTATTAAGAGCTACGATCAAGCATTCCCAGTCACAACTTGCAAGCACAGCAGCATCATATATTATTTCCTTCTAATTCTAATGGTGGGCTGCACGGTCCCAAAACAAAGCCTCAACTGCACAACAGTACGACAACCCTGAGGGCATACAGACCTTCTCAAAACTATCCTGCATTAGGGAATGGGAATTAGGGAATCCAAGGCCAGGTTGGACAGAGGCTTGGCTGGTATGGTTTAGTGGGAGGTGTCCCTGCCCATGGCAGGGGGGTTGGAACTAGATGATCTTAAGATCCTTTCCAACCCTAACTATTCTATGATTTTATAATGGCTATATCTCTCATTTTCTTGACATTACAGCAACTGAAATAAAAGGCAGCAAAGTAATTCAAAATCTTAAGTATAAGAAACTCTTTCATTCACACTAGTGATGAGACAGCCTTAAGACGACACTTTACAGTGACAAACCAATGCACTCTGTCAGTGATAATGCGAAAACTCTGTCACACAAACTGGGGGATGTGATGGATGCAAACCTTCAACAAGACCAGAATGACAGTGAAGTGCTTTGGCAGTCATGTATTTGCTGCCATACCCATGACTAGAAAGAAATATGCCATGAGAGCCAGGACTGGAGAAAAACAGGCTTACAGGAAGCCATAAGAAACAAATTACAAACCAACCCTCTAATAAATCTGAAACCTTGGAAAGAGGAATTTTGTTTTAGAGTCACAATCACAGGACACAGACAAAATTCTCACAAATAATAAACCATATGATGTTTAAAATAATGTTGTAGTAACAGAATAGCTATCATTTGGCTTTTTTATTTCACATCCAATTTCAGATAAATTGTTATACTAACGCAGAAAGGGAAAGCATATCCATAAAAAGAGGTGAGACCTTATCAGTACACATTTTTAACTGTGAATGGAGGAAGAGGAGGAGAAGGAAGAAGAATCCTCTCTCAGTACAGGGGCTGTATAGCCAGCATAGCTATTAACTGCACAACCCACCAGGGGGGCTACTGGAGGCTGAAGCCCCTGGGCTGACTGCCAGGCATGTCTGCCCCACTTATCAGTGCAAATGCCAGACAGACCATGGAATGGAGCCTCTCAGTTTTAACTGTTAATATATCAAAGCTTTCTTTGGAAAGAAGCCAGAGACTTGAAATCTGAAATTGTAACATGTTTTAAAAGCTTTTTCAAACATGGAGAAGCAACACTTTGGAAGAGCTAGACAGAAACACAAGCAATTATGAAACAAGGTCACTGGTAGCTGTCAGGAAGATTTTAAGATGGCTCCCACTGCAAGAATTTACCAGGCAAGCTCCCTGGAAGAGGCAGCTCAGAACAGTTCATCCAAGGATGACCCATTTTCTAATCACAGCAGCAACTGAACACAGAGTGTTTGCCGATGACACCAAACTGTGTGCTTCGGCTGATACACTGGAGGAAAGGGATGCCATGCAGAAGGACCTTGACATGCTTGAGAGGTGGGCTGATGCCAACCTCATGAAGTTTAACCATGCCAAGTGCAAGGTCCTACACGTGGCTTGGAGCAATCCCAGGCACAGCTACAGGTTGGGCAGAGAAGAGATTCAGAGCAGCCCTGTGGAGAAGGACTTGGGGGTGCTGGCTGACGAGAAAATGCA